CGAGGAAAACGGGCCCGTGCAGGATCTAATTTCGAATGCATTTCTCTCGACAGAGGCGACACTTCCGGTCTGGAGGAATCAGCTTAATTGCATCACTTCCGCTTATTCATCCATGCAAGCGTCTGCATCACATTTGCCAAAACTCGTCCCCCCGCATTTCAATATTTTCTTCTTTCTTTTTTCCTTACTAATGGTGTGTGTGTGTGTGTGTGTATGTAAAAGTCACTTCATTATGACGTGGTTCACCTTTCCATGATGCAGCTGGTGCATGTGCCCAAAAATAGCTTGGATATTGAGCAGCAACTGTCCTTTTTGACAAGAGATCTAGGCACCATCGGCCGTATGGCAGGGTACTTGAAGATGAAGTACGGTATATTTGCAAGAAATCATAGTCTTGAAACATATGCGAGGCAGCACATGCATCAGGCAAGTTGCTGCATGCTTCATACATGCGTCTCATCCCCCCGGGGGGTGTTTTACAAGCCTCTCATCAAGAGAGAGTATGGGGGGGGGGTGGGGATTGTACTGTGTAGTTGCATCTCGTGTCTCCTTATATTCATTGTTGCCTCTCGTTGAAAATTATTCAGACGATGACGAGCCACAGTGTATTGGTCGTATTCTGATGTGACTTGAATACTGGCTGATTTGGATGCATTTGAACTCGCATTTCAAAACGTCTATTACCGTACTAAAAATGGCATGAAGAGAGAAATGCAGCTAGGAGTACTCTGACATTCCAAGTTTTATTCCAACATCAGCAGTGACGATGAGCAGAGTTAAAAATTGGTTGCATGCCTGCGTTAATTTATCAACGTTGTTGAACAAAATTCAAGCTCGGTGATTGATTTTTTAAAAATAATGCAGTGAGAGGTGAATTTTTGCTTGCTTGATTCGGGATTTCTAACTTTAGCATTGACACGGCTATTTCGAGATATAGACAGGAACTCAATCGAAAAGTTTAGATCCAGTGTATTGAAAGCGACCCAATAAAAAAACAACAATAAAGTCTCAGATAACAAACTTGTAAGCTACAAAAAATAATAAACGTGTACTCTCTCGCTCTCTCACTTATTAAAAAAAAGAATCTTTTCACATGACACGTCAAAATCTGTCTGACGAACTTTGTATATGAGCCAAAAGTCTTTCAGGGTAAAACCCAAAATTCACTCTAAATCATGGAATGGAAGATTCAATACGCTCGTGCAGAGAATTCCTTTTTGCAATGAAATTTACATGCCTATATTTCTCCTAATAATTTGAGTTATCTTATTATGCAAGTAATCCTCGGTTTTTCACTCACTATCCTTTTCGTTGTTTTCATCATAATAATTTTTTTCTGCTTCGTATCGTCATCATGTGCTAAAATAAATTAGTCCCGCACTTTATCGTGAAATACAGTTATGATGTAACTATAATTCTGCTCTACATTTACGGGAAAATGAACCAGCATTCTTGGCAAACGAATCAAATCAGCTCAATCACTATGCTGTATTGCTTATATTAATCCACTGCTCGAAAATTGGTACTGTATTGTCTTTCGGATGCGAGATGCAAGAGAAATTCTTAACCTGCATCATGGAGCAAAAAGCAGTCCATATGGAAATAATTATAGTAGATTAAAAAATTAATCTAAAAAACCACGTTTTCAAAAAGCAAAAAATAACCTTAAACGTGTTGTGCATGGAGATTGTTGGGAAGAAGACAGTTTCTAAGCTATCCTGAAAGTTTCAGCTTGCTAGCTAGATGGGAAGTGAGCAAAATTTGAGTTGCAAAATTTGATCCGGACAAACAAACGGACAAGAAAGTGAGTTAATAAAAACGTGTTAAAATAGAATAAGGGAAGCAAACGTATTCTTGGTAAACATACTTGTGTCCTCGAATTAACCGATTAATAAGATTCCTTCAACAAAGGTTGACTGCATCAACATATACTTGTAGTACTTGAATCAAAAGTCAAATCTCAGTCCAAGTATAAATTCGCGGATTTTCTCTCTCTCTCTCTCTCTCTTGACTTAGGGAATGCACATGTGCTCTACATTGCTTGCTAATAATTAGGTAGCCTTATTCACAGCTGAAAATTCATTTTCCCCTTTAAAAAAAAAAGAAATTATTATATATACAGCAGTATACTGAGATTGGCCTTTGGCGACAAATAAAATCACCTCGCGGAATGCAAAAACGGAAGAAAGAAAAGAAGAAAAAAGTATGCAATATTGCATTCGGAAACTGTTGCCTTCATTGGTTCATATATACTATATACATACTGAGATTTGAATATACAGTATGTGGAATAAATTTCCCTGCTGCTGACGATGCTGCTGTGAATGAGGCAACTATATAGACACAAATGGGATCCCCAGCAATCACTGTTATTCTCGCTGTCCTAATAATCTCCTCATTGGCCTAATCAGCCAGCCCTCGACGGGGAGGCTGAATACTATACAGAGACCAGCAATAAAGACGAGGGCCTTTGACGTATGGTGAGAGCTGGCAATCAAGCAGCAGCATTTACAAAAGACCCATTGACTCTGTGTTTGAAGGGCTAGTCTCCTCATGCTGTGCTGGTGACTTTGATCGAAAACCGACTGCTGCTGGGTCCAGCATTCATTCCCTGCAAACATATACGTGTCCATACCAGCAACATACAAACATGTACAGTACTCGTAAACATATATATATATATATATAAATGATGTGCCTGAATGAACCCTGGAATGCGGTGAAACTTGTCGATATAATGTACGCAGAATGAGATTGCTGCTGATGACCTGCACGTACTGTACTCGGCATTTCGTTTCGTTATTCCTCTCAACATCCAGTCAGGCACCCCACCACACAAAGCAGGAAAAGAAAAATCATCTTGGGGTACTTGAGCGTACATACTGCATGCATCCTATACATATATATATATATTTATATATATATATATATATATATATATATATATATATGTATATATTGCTCCACATTTGCACTCACTCATCCCATTATCAGGCCGGGAAAAGAGACACACGTACTGTATACACTACTGCTGAATAGCATGCCTTTTTGTTGTTGTTTCTTTTTAAAGGGAAAAGGATATGAAGGCTAACGGCTAAATGACCCAACTTCTCTCCCGCATCCATCATCACATTGCCAATAGTATATATAGGGGCTGTACGTGTGAATATCTGCGAATCCCCAACGAGAGGTCAGCACTCGAGCAAGTGAGCCATTTATCTATCTTTTTTCTTTCGGGAAATGCACTGGATTTACATGCATAATTCTTCTTGGAAACAATATATTGTACAGTACTACTGATGCACAGCTAGTGGATAGAATTGCTAAATTCTGATGGCATTTGCATGCAACAAATGATATTTTTAACGTAGCAACGGATCCCTTTTGTGGGGAATTTCCCTCAGCGTGGGGATGAGTGTCCCCTGCCTGGCTCTTCTATATAGGAGAGTCGGGCATCACCTTTTCGCCTTTTTTTCTATATTTTTTTCCTTGGCATGAATTGGCGTGCTTGGGGATGCGCGCCGATTCTGGCGTAAAAAGGGAAGCCAGCTGTCGGCAGACATCAAAACAAAAATCAACACTTTGAAAACCTAGTATTTTCCACCCTCGTGTGAGGGTTGTAAAACCATTCCAAGGCCCTGTCAATAGCAGGGAAGTGTTTTACTGCCAACAGCTGCAGCCCTAAAAACAATTCCCAGATTTTGGGAAACCAGTGCGAGAAGCCATTCTGGGATTCTTTCCCAGGCTTCACCAAAAATTCATCCCTGGTATTTTCCCTTCAACATGAGCAGAATCCAGGAAAGAGCAGTTCAGTTCAACCAGAGTCCCAGGACAGAGAGGTTATCCTCTAAAGTCACTGGGTTTTAAAACACAGCTTGATGTAAACTCAAATCTTGGCCCAATTTTGGGCTTCAGAGGATCATCATAGAAGGGTATACATCAGAATGGCCTGAGTAAAGGCCAGAAACCTCAACATGAGTCAATAAGTCAGAGTTCAACCTGCATTCAAATCCTTGGTCCAAAAACATCATATGTGTATTTTCAGATACAAAGGGTGAAAATCTGTACTAAATCTGTCGTCAAAACTTGTTGCAAAGTATTGTATCAAAGTGTATTGTGTGACAAGAAACAAAGTTTGTGCAAAATTCTATTGGCCAGTAGCTCACCAGCCAGGGCCTTGAACAGCCAATTGCTGTGTACTGTATATTATTTCTGTATATACTGTATAACTACCTTACCGCAAACATACAGAGAGTCAGAAAGAACATCAGCATCAAAATTGCACCAGGAGATGGTACAAATATCTTTGAATGTATAAATTTGTACACTTTTTGTGGAAAACCTGAATGGCAAATACTGCATGGGCATGGGCATGCTGCCTTAGACAGAAAATTTCTATGTGGAGAGTCTATTACACATTGCTAAAAAAAGTACTTTACTGGACTTGGGGATTTTACATTCATGATAAAATTATTATCATATGTACTCCAATATGTAATCCAATGGGCTTTCCGTCAGGTCTTGGGAAAAAGGTTGTTATTGTACTGCAAAGCTTGTAAAAACAGTATTTCTTGTCACAAAGATAGTATTGAATTTTATATTTACTTGCCAAGAAGGTACATTATAAAAAAGACGTCTTTAGTTGGGTAAGAATCGATTATTTCTTGACAAACGAATAGTTTTTTTTATTTAATTGCATTTATCATCCTGTTTTTCCCGTGAATTTATCCTTGTTTTTTTTTTAAAGAGGAAAAAATTGAGCATGATTTCACTTGATAAAAAAAAGTGGATCCTCTCACGGAATCGGGATAACGCTTTCACGGAGAGCGACCATTTATATACTGTATATGGTATATCTATATATCTCTCGAGAGAGCATTGGCTGGCTGATATTTGTGTGTGTCCTCTGCTGCTGCTGCCTTGGCAAGTCGAGTGGGCCCATGCACACCACACCCCAAATCAAACCCTCGTCTTTAATGCGATGCCCCCGAGGCACGGGGTTATTTGCATTTTGAGAGGACCGGTGGCCCCTGGCCCCAGGCAATCGCCACTTTCGGGCTGGTCACTTCCGCACATCCCTCATCCTTATACAGCATACGAGTACATACACATACACACACACACACACACACACACACACACACACACTCGTTCCCCTCCGTGTGCACTTGGATCATTCTGGGCCATATACTAAACATAGGAGCTATATGTGTGCATTATTCGTCAACGAGAAAATGGCTCTTATTGTTGTTACACGTCTTTGGTTATTATGGACGAGAGTATTTCCAGAGACAGCAGATAGCAAGCGGGAAATATGGCAGGGAATGTTCCACGATATATAGGTATATAATTGAGACCTATTAATACCCATGTAAATCATTTATTCGCGTTAGCATTTATGCTCAATGCTGCTAATTGAGGCTCATGAATTCGCCTTGTCTGACTCATTATGACAGGACGATTGCTATGCAGATTCATTAAAGAGATTTATATATACACTGTACATTATATGTATATTATAGAGATGCCTCAAATTCACTTTTCCATTTCCTATACATAGCCCTGCCGAATAACTAATTTGGTAACTCTACTGTGCAAAATTTTGACAACGGAACAGTTTGAAATACAAAACGTGAGCTAAATCGCGTGCAGTCATTCAAAATAATAAAGAACGCCATCAAGGTCGTTGCTGCAATTAATAGCTCAAGAAGACCAAATACGGATGAGGATCATTCATCTGCAGCACGCCTTTTTTTGGTTTTTGCACAAATCCCCAGTCGAAACGATACTTTAAAATGTATTTGTTTGCCAATGGGGATTTATTAGTACAGTACTGTATATGAATCCCCATCACACGCTTTCCGATAAATCATTCACCACGGATAGATGTCACTCGCATCAGCGACGTGTTCTTATTTCTTTCTTTCAATGTCATTTCACTCCACGATTCTGTGTATGTAGGACGTTCCCGAAATAATGCGCATAATTTGTCTAGCCGACCCCGTGTAACTTAACCTGCATCATCGATTTGACGAGGGAAAAGACCTCCTGCTCTTTTCCGAAATGTCCTGCTTGTCTCTATATATCGCCCAGCAGGACAGACAAATAAAGGGCCGAGACAAATGGTGGACGACATTCGTCTGCATTTTATTTAATTTCGGGGACATTTTTCGATCGGTGGAAACACTGGAAAGAACTCGTGATGTTCATCTACTATTTCTAATACTGGACGGGCATCAAGGCCCAGCAGCAGCAGCAGCAGCAGCAATGAAGGAAAAGCAGAAGGAGTACAGTACGTGGTCAAGCCGCAAGTTATTCGGAAGGATGAGTCAGGTTAACAGCAGCGCAAGGAAAGTTGTAATCAGTGTTGCTAGGGTTTGTGTGGTCAATAATACGAAGGCTCGCAAAAACCCCCGTCTCTTTTCCTTCACGCATCGTCGTGTTGGGTGTCCAGTGCCCAGTGCCTCGCTATTCATATATATTTATATATAAGGCAGGCCGAAACACCTGTATACCTACACTCGTATACAAAACCCAGACACGGCAAACATTTGCATGATGCTGATGGCTTCAACGGGGGGGAAGCAATGTTTTCTTTCTTAACTTTCATGCATGATACTGCATTTTTGAAAAACTTAATTGTGTGACCAATAGCACTGGAATGAAAAAGGCATGAACTATGAGAACCAAGGCTATAATTTGAGCTGCCAGAATAACATTGTGCAAACAAATTTAAAATATATTAAACTTCTTTGCTGGAAAGAAGGGGCATTTTTCCCTGCATTCATAACGTTGGATGAAAACTGAAAATGATCAACTCTTTCAGGAATTTTTCCAACCTATATACCATATATAACGCCTTCTCAACTCTTGCGCATTAACTTTTGGTCAAAGGGAAATGTGCCAGTGCACATAAAACGAGCAAGACCTGCAATTTTTCTTCTTCCAGCATTGGTACATGACTGCTGGTTAGCAGACTAAAGATTCGTTCCTTTTGAAAATACTGTACATGTTTTCGTGAAATATAGCAATTTCCCAGTCAGCCGTGATATTGTTTTTTTTTTCATCTTGTTGAAGCATACGATCATGCATCCACATTTTCGGCCGAAAATTATTCGAGGTGCAAGTCTCAGTCGAGTAAATATGGCAGACTGATGAAATGTGCGAAAGTTTGGGAGGCAACCTTATTGCTGATACAATAAAATATTCGGCCGGCTAAAACTGGACAAATGTAAACTGCTGCATACTGCTGTACTCTTGTGAGCAGCAATACATGCGCGAAGGAACTTTCTGTGGTGATGAGAGTGTGTCACATCACGATGATGCCTCATCATCATCATCAATAAATCAGTGCATAGTGTGATTTATCCTCTCTTATATTGGCACTCCTCCTCCTCCTCCTCCTCATCATCATCATCATGCATACAGTAAATGAATATGAAGAGAGCACTCTGTACAAGAATAATAGAGGAAAAGAAATGATGACGACGACTCACCACATCAATGAGCTGACTGAGCTTGATCTTGATGCTGACTGTGAGAACGTCAGAGGCATTGAGCACGGGTCGCACCAGCTTGTTGTAGTTGGACAAGAGGTCGTCATAGAGCCTTTTGGCGTCCGGGTTGCCACACGAGCCCAGGGCGCAAATGGCTGCCAGCACTTGCCACCACAGAGCGCAGGATGCTGCCACCATCTTATTCCGTCTCTATCCTCCAGCCACACTTCCTGATGATGATTATAGATGCGTGAAATCCACAAGAATTCATTTCCCTCTTTCTATATACATCATGCAATGGCAAGGGGAGGGGGGGGGGGACTGAAGAATCGAATTTTAGTATAAATAATACAAATTATATTCCAGATCCGTAAATTTAAGAAAAGATGTGCTTTTCGAGAGGAAATGATGAGCTGCTCAAATAATTCAATTACTGAAGGTCCTTCAGCTTTTCATATATGTGTTATAAATTATACCAGGAGTGTATGTTATGTATATATATATACCGTAGCAAACTTTTCCAAATGATGTTTAATTACAGGTTTATTTCCAATTTTCTTTTGTGTACTCATACAATTTCCAGGCAATCGTGATCATAAATACAGAGAAAAACGTGGGTATATCCTGCAAGAAACCAAATTAAGAAAAGATGCATTTAATAGTATCTGCTGCTTCCTGATGATGGATAATGTTTGAACTCTCCATCAATTTCTTTTTTTCTTTCAAGTACTGTATATAGAGGCCACAGCGAATGTCTTTGCTCTTGCTGGTTTATTTCGATTTTGAAAATAAAATAGAATAAACTAATTCCCGTCCCTTAGTGAAAATAGCCATTATTTGAAAATGAAATCTCGCATGCATGTTGATGATGATGATGATGATGCTGGTCTTTATGTATAAATCCCACACTATCTATATCAGTGAGAATTTCCCAAATAACTCTGTCTTATTATTTATAAGCTGAAAGATTCACGGCTCTATGCACTGCTTTTAACCCATCCTTCGATGAAGACGTGTGAGCATCAGGACCAGCTTTCTTCTTCTTCTTCTTCTTTGTTCTCCCCCTGCTGGCTCCTCCATATTCATGGCTCATATTGTAATTGGAAATTATTGGCTCACCAGCAGAGGTCTTGCTTTATTCTTCTTCTTCTGCGACGAGGACAGGGATAATGATGGCGGAAGCAGACGACGGCATCCTGACGGCGTTCTTTTCTCCTGCTGCTGCTGATGGCACGCAATCAGGGCGCGGAACCCGGTGTCACCAGCACCGCGTTTCACTCGTCGTCGTCGTCAGCACATGTCTCAGACGAGGTCTACTATATACAACACTCACGACGACTGACGCATCATCACGGCAACACTGAATAACAAAACCTGCTTTCATACATATATATATAAACAGTACTGTATAGTACGTGTGATGAACGAAAACGAGGAGATTCGTCGTCATTTCGAATTATCATGCACGCATGCAGCCGTGAGTTGATTGACGGGACGACCCCTTTATAATTATTATTCTCGCAATCGGCACAAGCTCCTTATTTTCTCTCTCTCTCTCTCTCTCTTTCGATCCCTGCCGTATTTACTAAACTTACCGCATGGGCAACGACGACAACAACATGCAACAAAACAGGAGCAGCTACAGCATCTCGATGATTCAAAATAAGCAAGATTCCGAGCCCCTTATATAAGCGCCATATAGCAGCAACAAAGAAAGCAATAATCCTGGTTTTCAGAGTTTTCCCTCGTCGTCGTCGTCGTCGTCGTCGCGAAGGGATTTGCCCTCTGTGTTATTTTCCTCTCGCAGTATCACAGCTATATACAAGAGTTTACAGTACGGTATATATATATATATAGTGAGAACGGGTTTCGCGGCTTACCCGGAGTTAATTGAATGGGGATTCAGGGAAAGTTTCAAGCCCGGAATCCTCGAAACATTCCTCATCATCGAGACTTGAAAAAAACATTGTTCCCCAGCAAAGGGCCGGATTTTGCCAAGTTCATTGGACATCATGAGGACGTTCTGCTGCTGAAGGTGATGATGATGATGGAGAAAAAGTACTTGAATGACTGACTGACTAATTCATTGATTGATTTATTTCTTAGAGAATGAATCTGTCCATTTTAGCAAAATAATGAGGAGTACTTCAACCTTAATTCTGTCAGTTTTTTAAACGATACAACCACCACCAAGCATGATGCGAACAAGGTTACATCAGCATATTATTAGTGCTTTTTTTTTAATTGAGATATTCATTGGCCAAATATTTTGGTGGTTGCTGCCCGTCTTCCTGTTGATTGATTATCATCAGAACATGTAAGAAAAAACTGGACAAAACAAAGATTCCTGCACAATCCCCTGAAAGTGATATACAGTACAGTAATATATATGGGTTTCAACGGCTTCGTCAGAGCAAACGACTTTTGTAGACCAGCACTTGCATATAAAAATCAAGTTCTGCGGAACCAATATAAGAACTTGTCGTCGTTGCATTGTTTTCGCTGCAACAATGAATGACCAAGTTACAAAAGCCCTCAAAAACAAGTAATCGAAACACACACTCCGAAACAAAAGCGAAAAAAAAAACTCGAGAAATCCACACACACACTATAAGAAACTTTATGCGAGTTCCGATTCACTCCACTTATTGACTCCATTGTTTGCAGCAAAAAAAAACAATGGAAATAAAACGAAACCAAATTGAACAGCACTGCTGCTTGGGTGAAATGGCGTTATAGTCGTGAGTTTTTATCATTTTCCGAATTGACTAGCTTTTCCGGACCTTCGATATGCATACATTTTTCGAAACTAGCTTCCATGTATATTCCCCAGGGGGTCGCTGATTTCTGAATTTTCCGTCCTCACATTCTCCAAGCTTTCGAAAGTAAGTCAGTATAGGTTTTTCCTTTTTCGACAGTACCCATCAGCAGTCAAATGAATCGTCCTTTTCTTTCCCTCCATAATAATAATAATAAATAAGGGTGAATAATACGGAAGAAGGCATCAGGTTTGGTTCCTGATGATGGTCCTGATGGGTGTGCCAGCTTTTAACAAGGCCATGCATATATATATATATATATACAGAGTTTCCCGCTGGTGGGAATGGAACCATGAACCCCTCATGAAGTGGCCCGAGCTGAGGAAATAAGGGATTAAGGATTTTCATCAGGGGGCCGAGTCAAACTTCCTCTCAGGGTACTACTATGCTGCAGTCTGTATAGGTGTGTGTGTGTGTGGTTGCGGGTCATAAACGAGGCACATGATCGGAATATAAAACCCGGGCCAGCATCGGGATCCTTTACCGACCCATATATACACGGCGGCATGCACCGGCACCAATAAGCAGAGTCTTATTCCTTGCACACACACACACACTGAACCCAAAAAAAAAGGAGACCCATGGATATGCTGGTGCTGGTGAGGATTTTCCACCACACGCTAGAAATTCCCCAGCAGCAGCAGCAGCAGAGCAGTCAACGTTTTTCTGGAACCCGTGCTCAGGGGGCTTTTTTGTCACGGGGTTCCCTTCAGACTGCTAATCCCCTCGTCTATGCTGGGGTTCTACATCTGACCAGAATCTCTCTCTCTCTCCCTCTCGCGTATTTCCGCATATACGGTACATATATACAGTATACGTGTACAGATGAGAAGACGTTTCGGCGGAATTTTCGAGTCATGAAATCTCGACGACCTCGTCGTTCATTCCAATGGCCTGGTCTTTCCTCTCGTTAAATGCGATGGAAAGTAATTCATTTATATCTTCTCTCTCTCTCTCTCTCTCTCTCTCTCTCTCTCTCTCTCTCTCTCATTAATTGTTGGCACGAATCATCTGGCAGCATTTTTCAAAAAACCTTGAAAGCAATTATGTTGAGGTCTTTCGGGACGATAAGAGAGCAGAAAAAGGAATGAAATTGAGTGAGAAAAACTGAAGAAACGTATTATTGGCATGAATTTCCACAGCGCATTGTAAATCGAAAATGTATATATGATTGAAAATTAGATTATTTGAGAAATATCCAAGCTTGAGCCCGGAATGATGAGTTTCATATATTGAATACAGTTGGCAAATTCAAGTCCACATTGAAAATTGGTAACATACATTTCACTCCTTGCTGGGCATTATTTTCAACAACAACAAATACTGCGAATAAATGGACCATATTTTAAAATTATGCTGCAGGTGGACCTTTCTCTCGTCTACAATAAAATTCAAGAGACCAGAGAAAATCGTTTCTGTATATAGACAAGATTGTTGCAGAGATCAGTATGCTATACGAGTTCCCTATACCGCGAAATTCTGTCTACAACGAATTATTCTTGGTCCCTTGCATTTTACTATGGACACGTACGGAGTCCACCGCCTACAATTCGATGCAACAAATGCATTACTTTGAATCCGAAAATGCGTCTTTATATAATATGGTTAGCATGCAAGAGTATACTTTTACTTTGACACTTGTATTACTGAGGTATATGTATTATTTGAGAGCAGTGCTAAATATATAGATAGAGACGCAGTTGGAATTTACTCGATTCCTTTTTTTTCTTTTTTATTTTGGGAGGGGGATTCTTTGCAGAACGCCGAGAAGAAAAAAAAAATGCAGCAAGTCCTGGATGGGATTCCAGTATAGGGGTTTTCATCCCCGACTAGCCCAGATACCGGTGCGGTGATTCAATTTCAGATAACGTCACACACACACACACACTTTTTTTCTTTTTGGCCCTTCACGCAGAAAGAATTGCAAAGTCCATTGTCGAAAAAATGTCGGAGCCGTTTCATGTGAGATGAGGAGGATCCTGAAATATGGCGCCAGCTTTCGGCAGCAGTATATTTCAGCTTTTCCTTCTATTACATCAGCGCAGCTCCATAAATAGGAGGTAGGATGAACAAAAAAATGCTACTGTTTACGTCATTTCTCCTGATGCATTAATTGAGCATTTGACGAGATGAGAAAGAACACCTTTGATTTCATTTCAAACACGCGTCTCATCTGTCCTTTTTTTTCATTATTGGTTTACCATCAGCACTTACTTGGACTATTAATTATCGAGAAGGGCGGTACGTATTTTCGCGAATAAACTCCACGAAATAGGCAAAACATCAGTCAGTGCATGCTGATGCTTATTGCAAAAAATGTTAACTCAAAGAAAAAATTTGCGCGAATTTCGAGGAATGAGTTTTAAATTTAATACGGATGTAGCATCAAAATATTACTTCTTTTTTTTTTTGCACCAGTATAGCAGCTCTCGGTGAAATTGCTGCTAACACACACACTTTGTGCTACTGCTGCTGCTGCTTCTGCAAGAGCCGAGCAGACACTGAAGCCCAGGTCGCTTGTGCAGGCGTTTGCTGCTGCTCCTGGTGAGGGGTCAAATTATTTGCGCGCGGGCTTTCAGCACACTGCAAAGAAGAATACAAGGCGAGAAAATCAAGGGAGAATATATAAAGGCGGGATTCGTGATAAGACAATTGTCCGAATTCCACGTGGCCTCTGTAACCTATTTCCCCAAGTACTGTACAGCAGCAGTACTTGAAGGTCGGAAACTTGAATTTATTCCTTGCAATATTAGTATTAAAATCACTATTATTTTTATTATTATTATCATTTATTTTGAAATGATTGTTCAGTACGCAGCTGAGACAATTCAAAATTCCCACCGTTTTTCGTGACTGGTTTGGAAAAATAAGATGCAATATATAACTTTATCCGTAGATATGCAGTAGTACTTATTCCCATGCAGCAGTACATATTTCATGACGGAAAACGTTGATCTACCTGCATGCATCATATGGCAAGTCATTCTTGAATGTTGCTCATCAGGGTTACCAAGGAGTTATAGAGCCATGAACTGTGCTGCTGGTTGAAATCCAACATTTTTTGATGTGATGTAAAATTTTGCAGTGAATTATCTTGAATAAGACTTTACTGCAGTGCAGTATTTATGTGATTGGTTTCTAATTTCTGCCAAGGTATATCCATGCAGGTGCTGAAAAACATTAATTTCTGTTTCTTCTTCTTCTTTTTTTTTTGTTGTTGAATGAAATAAAAAGTGAGCAAAGAAATCCACCAATAAGAAGAATATTCTCCCAATGACAGAAGACTTTCAATTGACCCTCTGCTGACTGCGTGAAGCGAGATTTCTCATCTGCTATATGCCGTTGGGACATGAGATTCATCTACACTTGGACGAACCAAACATTCTCCTGACAAATTACAATTGCTATAGCCGACAAGTATGTCTTCACTTTAATGAAATTGCAAATCGTTTGACAAATTTTTTACGCCAGAGATCATATACATTCCTCTCTCTCTCCTGTATTGACATTCAGCAAGAGAAGGAAAGCAAATGTCCCTTTTTCATCTTCGTCGTTCAATTTCGCAC